CAAAAAAAAAAAAAAAAAAAAAAAAAAGGCTTGGCGCTTGAAGCTCAGGAGTTAGGACTCTGGATGCTAGCCACATACACCAAGGCTGGCAGGTTTGAACTCAGCCTGGGCCTGCTAAACAACAATGACAATCGCAACAACAACAACAACAACTAGCCAGGTGTTGTGGCGGGCACCTGTAGTCCCAGCTACTTGAGAGGCTGAGGCAAGAGAATCACTTAAGCCCAGGAGTTTGAGGATGCTGTGAGCTGTGACGCCACAGCACTCTACCAAGGGCAACATAGTAAAACCCTGTCTCAAAAAAAAAAAAAAAACCACAGAAAAAACTAAAAAATTATAATAAAGAAATTCATAAGATCACAAGTGAGACTGTTACCACACCCCTGCCCAGCCCTTGGAGGCTGCCTATGTTCACCCTCACTCTGCACCTCCCCCCACAGCCCCAGCCTGCAGAGCCACAGGGGGATTGCACATACCGTGTCTAGGACCTCAGCATCTGCTGTGGAAGCCTCACCACCTTCAGGGCACTATCCAGCTGGCGCAATCCCCAGCTATAGCCACACCATCCCGTCTACACAGCTAGCTCCAGACCTGTGTCAAGTCTCAGGGACATTAGCCCATGGCAGGCAGGCAGGGAGAGGTGGTCACTGTCCCTGATTCAAGCTTCAGCCATGCACAGGACCAACCTCTGTACCTCCAACAGCCACGTCTTGATGTAGATCCTGGCCCAAGCATCCCATCATGTCTGTACCTCCGGGGCAGAGGTGCCCCACCCTGCAGCAGGGATGGTAGCAGAACCCACCTTCCCTGGCCCTGGCTGTGTTCTGGCTGCACAGGCCAGTCTTGGTAGAAGCTGCCCATCAGCTGTGGCCTAACTAGTGGTCAGTAGGAGGGACCACTCAAGACACACCAGGGGCCAGGCTAAGAACTCCTCTGCCGGCTCGGGGCCTGTGGCTCAAGCAGCTAAGGCGCCAGCCATGTACACCCAAGGTGGTGGGCTCGAATCCAGCCTGGGCCCGACAAACAACAATGACAGCTGCAACCAAAAAATAGCTGGGCATTGTGGTGGGCGCCTGTGGTCCCAGCTACTTGGGAGGCAGAGGCAGGAGACTCACTTGAGCCCAGGAGTTGGAGGTTGCCATGAGCTGTGATGCCACAACACTCTACCCAGGGGACAGCTTGAGGCTCTGACTCAAAAAAAAAAAAAAAACCAAACTCTTCAGCCCTGAGGGTGAGACTGAGCCCCTGTTCAACTGTTTTCTCTTAAGTATTTCATACTCCTCTGCTGCCATGACCCAGAACACTACAGGTAATGGGGCTGGGGGACGCAGAGTGCCTTGCCCACCAGCCACCAGCACAGGCTGAAACCAGGCTGGCGCTGTTGGCTTTGGGTGCTGATTCTTACGTAATGCTACAGCAATGGAAAGACAGGGGGAAAAACTACTAAGAAAAGCTGAGCAGAGCCTTCTGTCCTAAGATGTTCAGCTGCCTATTTTTAAACAAGGCGCAATTATGAGGGTTTGCCTAATAATTCATGAACACTAATTGCCTGGCTATTTTCATCCCCAGAGTTGCTGTTCAGCTGAACTGCTGGTGGTTTGCCGGGGATTACATTAAATGCATAATTCAGGCATGAATGGGCGTGATGAGCCCCACATGGAGCCCCAGATGAGAGAAGGAAGCAACTCCCCAGCCCACACTGATGGGACTGCAAGCCATCTGCCCATCTGTACCCAGTGCCCACAGTGCTCGGCACGCGCCCCACGGCGAAAGCACTAGGAAGCCACTTTCACTAACTATCCACAGACGTCCACCCCTATTGTTCAGGGAGGTGGGTGTGCACTCTTGGGGGTAGGGTGGGTGTGTGCACTGTCTGGGAATGGGTGTGTATACCCCTGGGGGTGGGGTGGGTGTGTGCACTGTCTGGGAATGGGTGTGTATACCCCTGAGGGTGGAGTGGGTGTGTGCACCGTCTAGATTTGGCAGCAGGCAGCATGTACTCTGGTCTGTGTCACAATGATGAGACCCGAAGTGATAACCCTGTGGAAGCTGCCTGAAGGGGCAACAGCTTGTCCAGAAACCACTCTATGCTGGCACAGGCTTGAAAGAGAGGGGGCCTGTGTAACCACTGTGACTGTGGTCTTGCTGGGCTGTCTTGGTTTTCCATATGGGTGTCAAATTACCAGAGTGGCCTAAAGCAATACCCCTGTTATCCTAGTCCCTGGGTTAAGAGTCTGGCTGGGCATAAGGGACCTCCTGAGTGGGGTCTCCCAAAGTGCAGTCAAGGTGCTGGCCAGAGGCACCGAGGAATGCCTGTGACCCAGCCTCATCCTGCCCTTCTCCCTGCCACACTCTAGAGCCAGACAGAAGCAGCCCGCAGAAGTCTTCTGCACCCATCCCATGTGGATGGGAAAACAGCATGCAAGTCAGTTGCCCAGAGGCAGTGCATTTTCCCTTTGGCTTGGGGGTCTGGGAAATGTTCAGGAGAAATGCTGGGGCCGTCTGGAATGGCAAGGCCCCAGAGGACAGGTGCTGGCAGGGACACACAGGCTCTGTGTTAACCCTCTTCTCCTCACCCTGCGGCACTGACTGGCATCCTCTGAGCCAGTAGTGGAGCCTCCCCTCTGGACAGTGGGGGTGTGGGTGCATGGTGTTTCCCTGCTGGCAGCCTACAGTAGGCAGTGCTAAGAGCCATGTGAGACTGAAGGGGTCTCCCCCGGAGGGTGCGTTCCCAGAACTCAGCACCACAGACTGGTAGCTCCAGCAACAGAGGTGCTGTCTTGTAGTTCTGGAGGTTGGAGTTCAAGATCCAGGTGTTAGCAGGGTCAGCTCCTTCTGAGGGTCTTCTGTGTGCATGCTGCTTGCTCCATGCGTGCCTGCATCCTGACCTCTTCTTACATAGACACCCCCTTATCAACAAAGGCCACTCACATGAGTCATTTTACCGTAATCACCTCCTTAAAGGCCCTGTCTCCAAGCACAGCAACAGTCTAAGGCACTGGCAGTCAGGACTTTAACATAGGAATGCAAGGGGGATGTGGCTCAGCCAGTAACACCCTGTGACTATGGACGGCCCTGGAGCTGGTTCTTCCTCTGAGGAGTGGACTTGAAGGGACTGTCCCTTCACTTCCCTGAGAGCTGGCTGTGATAGCCACAACATAAGCCCTGGGGACACAGCCTGGCTTCAAATAGGCATTTTCAACTCAGGTTTCCCTTGCTGTTTTCTAGTTATCTTGCTGTCACTGAGAAGTAGGAGAGAAATGGTAAGGGATGAGGTTCTAGGAGGGTCTGAGGCCAGGGCGACTGGGGGTGAGGCGGGGTGACACCTGGGGCCTGATTCTGCTGGCCGGGATTAGGTGGTGATAGAGTGGGCAGGCTGCCCAGGACCAGCTCCCAGGCCCAAGAGGAACAGCAGAGGAGAGCGATACAACCAGAATTGAGCCTTCAGAAAACCCCAGGGCCTGCCTCAGCCTGGTGCCCACTGAGGAACAAGGACCTTAGTGGCTTTGCCATGTGCTTCTTTTCCCCAGCTTTACTTTACACATGGGCAGTTGGAGTAACTTCAAGGAACAGAGTGGCAAGTAGGGATACAGCTGAATCTGGGAGTAAAGAGTGCAGCCAGCAACAGCCTCAGACTCCGTTGGACAGTATCTCTCCATTTAAGAGCTGTGCTTGTCAGGTGCAAACACAGTTATTTTGCCGGCACTTGGTAGTTCAAATGAGCAAGGAGGATACCTAGGAAAGTTGAGGCACCAACCATCACACCACATCTCAGCTCCAGATTCTCCTAGCACTGGCAGCTCTGCGCTAATGTGGCTGAACTTCACGGCTGGTCCCACGCTAAGTCTTGCCAGAGGAGGTGCTGCCGAGATGCTGCAGGAGGATGGGCTTCTGTTCCCGCTGCCCAGGCGCTCAGGTGGCAGCTGCAGTGCCCGGCCAGTGCCTCCAGTCCCCTGCCGGAGCCAACAGTTCTCTCTGTGTACTGCGTTTTCCCTCAGGCTGCTGTCTGAGGGCTAGACGCTGACTCACCCAGCACCCACTGCTGGGGCTGCTCAGGGTCACCTTCTGGGTGCTAACTGGGCCCTGCACCCACCTCTCTACAGGATGGGAAATGCTCCACACTCTCATTATTCCTGGTCCTGAAATGACTTACTTCTGCATAGTTTCTCACGGTGACTTAAATCTGAGAACCTCACTGAAATGGTTCCAATCATTTGTGGTGCACATTTTATTTTATTTATTTAGAGACAGAGTCTCAATTTGTAGTCCCAGTTGAGTGTCATGGTGTCACAGCTCACAGTAATCTCAAACTCTTCAGTTTAAGCGATTCTCTTATCTCAGCCTCCCAAGTAGCTGGGACTACAGGCATGTGCCACAACACCCATCTATTTTTCAGAGACAACGTCTTACTCTGCCTCAGGTTGCTAGTCTTGAACCTGTGAGCTCAGGCAATCCACCCACCTCTGCTTCCCAAGTGCCAGGATTACAGGCATGAGCCACTGTGCCTGGCCTATGTGGTGTGCATTTTTTTGTTTGTTGGTTGGGTTTTTTTTGCAGTTTTTAGCCAGGGCTGGGTTTGAACCCACCACTTCCAGCACATGGGCCAGCGCCCTACTCCTTTGAGCCACAGGCACCATATGGTGTGCATTTTAAAACGATGAAAACTTCCCAGACAACTGCAAGAGAAAGTGGTCCCAAATGTCGCTCTGTGACATGGGTCACATCTTTGCCTCATTCTCTGTGTGGACAAATGTTGGGGTGCCCCTGGGAGAAAGGGCCAGCCATCCAGAGCCCAGGTTTGGGGGCCACATCTGGCTCACCCTCCCTGCCTCAATTGCTCATCTCTCTCTCGCTCTCTCTCTCTTTTTTTAATAGTAGAGTCTCACTCTGTCACCCTGGGTAGAGTGCCATGGCATGACGCCTCACAGCAACCTCAAACTCTCAGGTTCAATAATCCTCCTGCCTCAGCTTCCTGAGTAGCTGAGACTACAGGTGCCTGCCACCACCTTCAGCTAAACTTTCTTGTTTGTTTGTTTGTTTGTTTGTTTGTTGAGCGTTGCCCACCTCTTTCAGCTGGTCCCCACAGACCCTTGGATGCTGCTGCCAGAGGCGCCGAGGTGTCTTCCCAGACTTCCTGCTCGCACCTTGGACCAGCCAGCCCAGCTGGGCCCTCACTCTCTGACACCACAGCCTCAGTTCTGCTGCCCCAGCCCCTATAGACCCACAGAACTATGCCCCTAACATACGATCCCCTTCCGTGGCTGAGTCTCACATCTATGTGCTCCGGTTCCGAGTCCCTACCACTGAGAGGCACTCCACTGGCACCCCATTGTGAGGGCAAGGCCCAATGCATGGCCCCTGCCCTGCCGTGCCCCGGCCTGCCTCCCACACATAGCACCCAGCAGCATGAGGACTGCCTGGCATGACAGACACAGAGCAAGGGGGTTACCTGTATGCATTTTTGGAAACAGGGCGAGGATCAAACTTAAAGAAGATGATGCACATGGCGGCCACAGGGTGGCTTTGCTCATACGGGCCACAAGGTCTGTGGGGAGAGAAAAGACCGAGTTAACAGCACACGGCAGAGTGGCCTCTGAACCTGCAACAGCCTCAAACAGAAGCACTTCTGGGGCACGACGTGTGGACACTAGATAGCCGGCCACTGCAACTCAAGCATCTCCCAAACCTGCACGCTCATCAGCCCTGGACAGACCATCTCTCTGTGCCCACAAGGCTCACTGGTCCTGGACAGGTTTACCTCGCAAACCTGCTACAGTGGCCAAGGGACACCGGATAGTTCCTGAGATGACAGGACATAGCCAGCCATCCTAGGCTGACACGAGGGGTGCAGGGGCCCTCAAACCAAGCACTGTTTACAGGCTTCCACATCGGTAATGCCCAGGGCAGCCAGCGGCAACAAACCAAAATTCTCTCTGGAGGAAAATGTCTTCAACCTAAACCTCCCAGAAGTCTCACCAGCCATTTTTCAAAGACTCAAAACAGCAGGCAAGAGCCATGGAGTGAAACAAATATCACAGAAAGAACCTGCAGAAAGACCCGCACACATGTCAGAAACCAACCATGTGCTGTTCACAGAACGAAAAAAACAGCTTGAAAATATGTGCAGGGAAAAGGAAGGAATAGAGTAAACCAGGTTTGTGAAGCACCAAAAACAACATTTAGAAAGTTCTTTTGGAAATGGAAGCTACAGTGACTGCTGCAGACTAAAGCTCAGCAATGAGGCTAAGGGCAGAGCAGCGTGGCTGATGAGGTTGGGTGCCGTGTGAGGACACGGGGGCACGCTGGGCTTGGGGCAGGCCCTGGGTATCCACCTGCCAGGTGCTGAGGACAGAGGTCCCAGCACCCCCAAAGAGACCAAAAGACCCAGCCCTTGGTCCTAGGGGGAGGCCAATCTCTCATGTGTGTGAGAAGCCTGCTGTGGACCTTGCTGGAATCCCACTGGTCCTGAGACCTGGGGCTGCCTGAGGCCACCATCCTCAGGGCTTTCCAGGGCTGTCTGCCCCACCAGGACCGTGCTGCTCTGCAGTGTCATGAGGCCATTGCTTAGCTGCAACTGATCTTGACCTCTCTGGGCTGCCCACCAGTTGTTGGTGAGGCCACTGACACGGGCCAGATAGAGGGGCCCCCAGAATCAGCCATGGGACCCACTGTCTGGGCTGGCAGGGGTGGGCAGGAGACCAGCCCTGCAGGCAGCAGTGGCAGGGAATGCTCCACGTCCAAGGAAGGCCATGGACCGGCATCCAGGCAGCCTGGTGCTGGCGGTGTAGGCACAGAGCCCAGGGCTGCGGCCTTGACGAAGACGCGGTCATTGGGAGGGAAGGACCAGAGGAAAGCCAGCCCCTGGGGAGGGGACCATCAGGAACTGCCTTTCTCTCCAATCCCTCACCTCCCGCTCAGCCAGGTCCGCTGCCCACCGGCCCCCAGCTCTGGCCAGCAGGCCATCTCTTCCCCTTGCTGCTGCACTGCCACCATGGCCTGTTCTTCACCTAGGTCCCCATATGCTCCCTCAGTAAATCGGTACAGCCCAGCAGAGCCAATGTGCCCCCAGACCCCCCATAGAGCTCTGACACACCCCTCAGGACGTCTTCCCCATGTCCTTTTGACACCCTGCCCACAGGCCACTGTCTCACTCCTGCTGACTTACCAGGCTTGGAGAGTGAGCCTTGGACACAGCTCTGTCCTCTTGGTCACCACACTGTGGGCTGGGCATGGGGCAGGTAGGGGTAAGTAGCAGGAACCACCCCTGCGGGCAAACATAGCGGTCCTGCTCACACTGCCCTGCGCCGGTCTGCCTGGCCACTCAGAGCCACCTCCCACGGCTCCCATGGGAGGCAGAGCAGGAAGGGAGGCTGGGCTCACCCTTATGGGTCACCCCTGAGAGCCACTGGGAGCTTGCCCTCAAGGACACTGAGCTGGAAAGTGTGCAAGAGAGGACAGTGTTGTACCCTGCTTCCCTGGGAACACCCTAGCCTGCCTGATTCCCACCCCACCCTGGGCTCAGCACACAGGCCAAGTCCTGACCAGGTGTCCACATGTCCTCAGCAACTCAAGAAGGCCACAGGGTGTTCAAAGCCACATAGGGTCTTGGGGCTGCTCCTGAGGCCTGGGGGGCCAGAGCTGACCAGAGAGAAAGAGGTTGTAGGAAAAGGTAGGTAGGAGGGCCAGGGCCCAGCCACAGCCCTGCCCACAGGCCCAGGGGCCACAGCTTCGTGACAGCTGAGCATCTGCAGGAGGCTGAGCCCCACCTCCGAGTTGTCCTGTCCTGGGCACCACCTGCCGAGCACACCTGAGCAGGCCTGCCAAGTATAGGCAGGTGAGACGCACTCAACTCCCATCCTTGTACCTGGCTTCATAGCAGCTGGGGAATTGGGTCACGGGGAGGTGAAGAGGGCTCCCAACCAAATGGGGCAGGCCGCACAGAACCCAGCTCCCTGGGCAGGTCAGACCCTGACCTGAAGGAGGCTGGGCCTGGATGCCACAGGGCAAGGAGGAGACAGGTGTCCTCACCGAGAGTCCCAGGTCATGCAGCAGGGCTATGGGAAGGTGGGCCTAGTGGGCCCCTGCTGGCTGGACTTGGTGCAGCAGTAAGCCAGCCACCCTGAGCAGGCACATGGTGGGTGCTAGGCCCCACACCCACTCCCTGGAGGCCTGCCAGAGGCCATGAGCCCCCAGCAGCTGCACCACCCCGGCAGAGTCACTCTGTCCAGCCACACTGTGGAAACATTTGGAAGTCAACATTCCTACACAGGGGCCACTGACCTCCCCAGGCTGTTAAGAAGCCCCTAGTTAGGCTGGTGGGTGACAGGGAAGCTAGCTTCCTCCTGGCCACAATGGTCACTGTTCCCACATGTGGTCCCACTAGGGTAACTTCCTTGAAGGAACAGCCCTGACCCCGGGTAGGGTCAGGTCCCCAGGCATGGAAAGGCACAGCATGTGGCCCACACTGGGGAGGGGCAGCTGCAGGGGCAGTGATCAGAAGGAGCCACACATAGGGGCTGAAAGCAAAGCCTTTGAAGTGACCAAATATCCTGCCACTTGTCCGTGCCCTGGCGTGTTGGCGTGGTGCAGTAGCGAGTTTCCTAAGCCAGGACAGGGAACATTCTTCCTACCCTTCTGGGGAAGCACATCCCTACACGCTCACTGCAGCCCCAGGGGGGTCCTGGCTGGCTCAGCAGGGGCTCACACCCCACACCACACACCACGGAGCCTCCTCACCACAGCCTCCATGTGCTCCTCAACTCACATGGATTCCACTTTGCTGCACACAATGACCAAGCAATCTTTGTCACAACCAAAGATGCCATGTGAAAAGCTGATCCCCCATGAACCTTGCTGTGTTATAGCTCTTTTTAAATTTACCTATAAAAAAGCATGACCCTGCATGCACTCCTGCCGAGGATGCACTCTCTCTGAAAGCACCAGCCTAAGCGAGGACCACACAGACAGCATTCCCACACCTCACACCCACCTGTCTGCTCACTGGTCCCCGGGCTGGGGGCCCCTGTGGTGTCCTGGCCTACCCAGCAACTGCCTGCTGGGTGATGTCCACCAACCCGAGTGTGTACCTCTGCCAAGTCCTCTCATCTTCAGCCTTCAAAGGTGAACTGTGTGCAGTGCAGGGCTGGTTCAGCACCCTGCACGTGCCAAGGAGAACTGTGGCCTTGCCTGGTGCCTGGGAAGTCTGCTTTAAGCCTGTGGAATGTCCTGCTTGGTGAGAGCGTCCTTGTTCACCAGGGGCCTTTGATACCAGATTGTGTAGGGTAACAGTGTGACTTATGGGGTAGGGTATTGGCTCACCCCCTGGAAGGTCCAGAGACCAAGGTTGGCCAGGTCTACATGACGGGCCCTCAAGACAAACCTAGACACAAGGCTTGGGGGAGGGCCCACGGCTGGCAGCATGCCATTCATGTTGTCACACACTGCTGCAGAGTCAGGTGCTATCCACCTAACTCCACGAGCCCATGCCTGGTCTCTCCTGGACTTTGCCCTTTGCACCTCCTACCATTGCTGATTTCAACCTGTATCCTTTCCTTGTAATAAACTGTACCCATGAATATAACAGCGTTTCTGAGTTGTGCGAGTCCTCCTAGGCAATCACTCACCTGAGGGTGATCTTGGACTCTGGACAACACCAGCACAGGAGCTCAGAGAGGCAAGCACACTAGGCTGAGGCTACACAGTGGAACCTCCCCCGCTTCTTTTTTTTTTTTTTT